GAAATTAAATGATTCGAAAAAGCAAGATACGTTGAAGCTGTACAATCACTTTGAGGCATCTTGTTTTTCTAAGCAACAATCGCTTAGTTGTTAATTAACCGAAATTTTTTAAGAATTGCTACAAAGTTTATTTATAAGTTTAATAAAATAATCGAATCTGTCCTACTCGCTGTTTATATAGATAATTACACAATGAATTCACAACAGATAGCATTAATAAACAATAATGCAAGCTATCCATTTGAACCCAATTACAATATTACCCAATTAGTTTATTGCTTAATTTCTTCATTCTGTATTGCCAGTAAAGTAAAATGCAAAATGTCATGATGTAATATTTCCTAAGTAAGTAATTGCTTTCTATAATTATTATAAGAGATAGTTATTGATTTCATAGTTATCATAATGATTATTATCATCTATGTAAATTATTAGGTATGGGAAAAAGTTCGTGGCGTTTTTTCCGTTGAGATGTAACGGAAAAACGCCACGAACTTTTTCCCATACCTAATATTAAGTTCAAGAAACCCTAATAGTGCATTTATTGGCAAAATATTAGCCCAATATATGCCCTAACATTTAGCCAATAAATTGCTAATGGAAACTTTACCACGAAGTAGGGTAAAAATTCTTGGAGAAAAAAGTCGCATACTTTAATGCTTAAATTATGTATTACCTGGTCCGATAAATTTTTAATGATAACGCAGAATACATTTTTTTTTTAGTATATCGATTCACACATACACGCACATTAGCGTTGGCTGCGGAAATGGAGAAAAAGAAAGAGCAGGAAAAAGAAATATCAATTAAAGTCTTTTTACATTTTAATTTTTTTTATGTGATCAAAACGCTATACGATAATTAAAGTCGTTAATTTAAATAAGAAAATAGTTGTATCGTACAAGAGAAAATTACTATCAATGGGATTTGAAAGGTAAACTGTTCGCGAGTTGTTTGCTCCAAGGGTAAACTGTTTAAACGAGAGAATTTAATTTTTCAAAAATTCTCAACAAACGCAGCACTTATCGAGTGACTAATAATGACTAATAGTGAGTTGGACACACTAACTAACATGCGTACTCAGTATACATTAAAGCCATTGAACACAAATCAATATGAAGATCTGTATTTAATATAAATATAAAAATGGATTAAACTGCGAAATATTTTATTATTATATATTTTATTATAAAATATGTATTGGACATCTTATTATTCGAACTTTTATATTTAGATTAATATAAAACATGGCTTTAATATGATAAGATGCACTAATGCATCTAATCGAATTCGCTATAAGTCGACAATTAATATTTTTCGCGATAACGATTTCTTTCTATATTACGAAAACAATCAAACTTTGTCTTCACAAGGATTAATCATATGAGAAATAAGCGAGAGAACGCATTAGTGTTGTTCTTTGATACATTGCTTTGTTGGAGTCTAAAAATTAAGATACAAATCTAAAGATAATTTTATTGGTCCATTTTTACGGATCAATTAATCGCCAAAATAATTATATAGGATATACGTTCAAGCTAGAATGTCAAAATTTTTTGATAGCGTTGCTTATCGTGCTTGAAATTCCTACATAATTATTTTGATGGCCCAACAAAATTATTTGCAGTTATAAAAATCGTTCTTTCCATATGCATATGTACATCATGCAGATAACGAGGTTGTTAATTATTTGCTATATAATATCGTGAATGGATCGAAAAGATTGATTGGATTGAATCCCTTTATGTATACTGACCACTGAATATACAGTCTCTATTGTATCGTATTCCTCAGGTATATTAGATATTAGATACCTATTAGCGTAGCATGGGAATCACATCTCACGCGTTGATCGATCATTATCAAACGCTTTGTGTTATGATAGAGCGCGTTCAATTCCGCGCATATCTTCGTTATACATCGAGGACACTGAAGGCGAAGAGAGTTATTACATTCCCCGCTTGGTGAGGATGAGACGTCTCCGGTTTGTATCGCTTGACACGCGATGGCCCGTCTTGCAATCTCCACCAAGCAGACTCCGAGATAACAGCGATATTATATTGCGATATTAAAACAGTTGTGATGGTTTGGGACGTACTTAGCGTTTCTCGCGTTAATGAAACCGCGGAAGCAGCTTAAATCCGAAAATGTAACTGTAATTATCGTGTGACCGTAATTGCACTAACGCTACATCGACGCGTGATGTATCCTTAATTTGCGAAATTAACCGGAAATCCGGCGCACGAATCGAACGCCGGCAAATCTGTACCTAACGAGTTGTCATGTAATTATAGTTATTGCATATTATAGTTATTGTAAGTTGACGTGTAATTAAAATGGTTGTTCTAAACATGAAATTCTATTCTAATACAACACGATTGAAATACCATGATGAGATGAATTGTAGTATATTTAGTTAAACAAACATACTATAATATACTTAACAACATAACTATAATATAACTTAAACAAATAATTTACGTTTGAAAAATGTTTTGCCAAACATTTTTTATGCTGTATAAAAAAGTTAAAAAGTTATAGACATTACAAACGTCTTAAATGTTTTATGACGTTTATTATTTAATTTATACGTTTATTGTACGATTCTTTTATTAAATGTAATGTTTTGAACGTAATTGTTGGATATAGTTATAAATAATGTTTTCTAAATTAATAGCTTTTAGAAAATAATAAATAATTCTTGAAAAAAGTTTTTAATCTTCTGCGCAATTGTTTTTCGTATATACTTGAATAACGAAAAATTATTTCTTAAGACAACATCTTTTCTTTGCTTAAGATATTTCATTGTAATTCGGATTTACAAATAGCTACGATTTGACAAATGAGCAAGATGCTTAGAATTTTCTATTTAATCATGGATTTTCAACTTACTTTCACTTATAAATGCTTGTCGGAATTTACCGATAAATTACTATGGAACTTTTCAAAGCGTTTTAAGTTGAATTATTTTGTTTGAATGTTGGAGCGATTGTTTGAGCGATTGCGAGTCTTTCGCAAATTACTGTTCAATCATTATGCATGCTTAATGAACTTTAAACAAAACGTAGTCCTATAAACACTAATTATATATTTATTAAACAATCAATATTAATTAATATGTTTATTAATTATGTTTACTTACCTCTCAAAAGATCGATAAAACACATCCTTTATCAGATTTCATTAATTATTGTTAACTTTTTCAATAAAGTAAACATTTAATCTTACACTAAGTAATTAAATATTATACAATTTTTGTAATATATTTTTTGTTAAAATTAAAAACAATTAAAAATTTTTAAGAAATGGACTTTCATAAAATTATTAAAATACAAATATTCTTTTAAAATTAATTTTTAAAATTGAGTTTATTAATTTGTTAAATGTCTTTTTTATGTTTATATTCGTATATTATGATATTAATCTTTATTATTTTTTTAATCTTCAATAATTATATCTTGTTTATACTTCTTATATCTTGCTGTTCACACAAATAAGATCGTAGCTGTTAAAAGTAATAATTTTAAAGGTTTTAATTTTCTGTAAAGTATGTTTGATTATAGACATATACATTTTTATTAATTTGTATAATGAATTTTTTAGTTAATATATACAAAATTAACAGTCATGAAAAATGATTTTCTACTTAAGTACATCACAATGCATATGTTATACTTATCGGTACGAAATATGTTTATGGTATTATTACAATTTAATTATATTTCATGTATACATACCATCAATTATTATGTAATTAGACAATTCATTTAATAAGTTTTCAACGTAAAACATTTTTTACGTCATATAAAATTATATAATAAACTAATATTTTTAAAGATTTAATTTTAATTCTTATTTTTGTAATAATGTTTTCTTGAAATACTGATTAGGAAGTATCAATATATTTATGTATATTAATTTGTATAATGATAATATATTGCACACCTAAGAAATGGAATGACTTAAAATGGTTACTTACATACTTTCTAATATACAGCAAATACAAGCATCGGCATAAAGTCAAATTTGAGAGTATGCGTGAATGCGGATAAAAAGATTTCTTCTATCTCTAATTGATTTGAGCTATGAATTGGCAGTTTATTTGTAGACACAATCTTAAATGTTAATTTTGGTTCGCGTCGCCAATAGGTCTTTTTTAAAAAATCATAAAAAAATGTAAATGTAAATGTCCGTAAATGAGACAACTTTGTTATCTTTCGACACGTAATATGTACAATACTAATTGCAAGAGTTTATTATCATGAATATTGGTGAAAGTTAACATAGAACCAACATTACTAAACACAACTTTTGTTTACAGAACTCAATATCTCATTTGCATTAAACTACTTGCTAGAAACTTGCCAAACTTATAAGGAGCAAATAATACTTGATTCCCATGATGAAATGTTACCTACTTCCCGATGAGATTTCATTGCTAAATTCGTTCGCGAAGATGTAATACATTTGCGAATATATGCTCTATGAAATGTGAAGCTCTCTGAAAAGATTTTAAATTTTGTTAGAATTTAAAAATTTCTTTAATATAACCTATATATTATAGTTTTAATTATTTTTATCCTTAATATTAAAAAATTAGCTTTTTGTTTCATGTTATTTCTTTATATAAAAATTTCTTATTAGAATAGATATTTTTAAATATTTGAAATGCAGAGAAAATAAACAATTTTGCTCAAAAAAATAATAATAATAAAATAAAATAAAATTTTGAATCCATCTTAATGTAAGAAAATATAAGATTTCACGGAAAAAAATCTGTTTCAATACACGAGAGTTTATGATGACCAACGACACGAGGTAGCAACTTGGTTCTTGAAGTTCGCGAGCAAATTCGTCCATGTCGAAAGACGGCCAAATCTCATTCCACGAATATTATTCACTCGTTACGAGTTGAAGCAGAGTTTCTATCAAGTAGTGTCACTTGGATAAGACGTTCTTTAAACGAAAGTTACATGATTACGTGAAACTTTGTAGTTCTCCTTAGATTTTGCCACTGGGGATACAGAGATTCTCGGAAAACTGTCTGCAGTTGAATCTCTCTCTTTAAGTTTATTCGCAAATAGGTTTTTCTTTGATCCCACGCGGAATCTGTCACATCTTTTTTTACGAACGTTTGGATTTCATCGTCAGAGAGTTTCAGCTCGCGAGATCCGAGATGAACTAAAGGTAATGTGATTTTTCGATACATGATTTCGATAAGATGTCTAGAAAAGAAAAAAAAAATTCAAAGTGTTTTAACTTCTTCCAAACAGCTTTGCAAAAATGTCGGTTTACAATAGTCACGTGGCGTGGCAGATGAGAATCTGAAAATATTGTCTTACATTTTCGATAATCAGAAGAGCTACGAGAATCAGTATGATGTTGGTTGACGTAGTCGCCGTGGAATTTCGTCGATCGCCTCCATGCATGGCTGCCGGTTTCTCTTCCTCTGCGAAAATAGATGAGATTCTTTGAGAGAATCAAACGCGAGCGAGAGAAATGCAATTGGATGTACAGAATGCTTGAAATATCTGGTCAAACTTTGGCAGTTGATGTTTGAATTTTCCACCGATTATTCTCTGTTGAGAATATGTTGTCTAAATATTGAGCAAATTACAGGTTTCTGAATTGCAGTACATTAAACGAAAAGTATATTAAACTAAAAACAAATTTATTAAATAACAAGTAAGTTTAAAATGAAAAATAATAAATAGGAGCTGAACAGGATCTAAATGTTAATTAATGTTTATATAACAATTATTAATCGTACAAACGTTTCAACTTTAATTATAAGTTCATTTACAGTATTTTCATGATTGTTTTCAAATATGCTCAGAGTCCGAAAATTATAATTAAATCTTCGATTATTACAATATTATGATTCGGTTACACGACCAGCACGATTTAAAAAGAGATTTTGTTTTTTAATATGGCAATTTGCGACACATCTTTTAATTACAGATTTATTTATAACATAATCGCAAATCGCCATATTCAAAAACAAAACTTCTATAAAAAAATATATATGAAAATATGAAATTAAGTTTATTTTAATAATAATGATTTAAATTTGCAGATATAATGTAAAGAATATAATTATTATTGAATAGGTTAGATAGCTCCACTCAGTTCCGAAGAGATATACCTAATTGAATCGGTCCAACAGACCCATCTTAATTCCGGAAGGTTAAACATCCAGGAATCGAAGGATTAATGAGTCACGAGATGCCCGCCGAACAATTGCTCACCTTCAATGACATGTAGCACGATGTGAGCCGGTCTGGCGTTGTTTGGCAAACATGTGTAATTCGCACCATGTGAGAGCTTCACCTTCTCCACGATGAATACGGAGCCGTTTCCCTTAAGCTCGAATCGAACACCGGGCTCGTTGTCGTAGTTTATCATGCGCGTCTCGCGATACCAAAACACGTAGTTGGGCGATTCTGCGGCTGCCATCAACTGGCACTCCAAACGCAGGCTGGAACCCTGCTTCACGTGGAGATCCGGTCCACCCGGTATCACCGAATACGCCTCCGTGATATTCAATCGTATGAATCGCTGTTGCATTGGTTCCGTCTGAATCTATTTTATTAGAACATCACGAAACGAATCTATGATTATTTATAAAATACATATTGTTCTTCAAGTATCATATCAATTCCTTACTTTAAAAGTGATGTACAAAATACTCAAAAAATAAGTTTTTCAGAAAAGGAGAAAAACTATTTTTCAACTTGACAAAAAATTATCAAACAATATAAGCTCGACAAAGAATATATTCTTAGCAAATGTCATTTTCATTTCACAATCCTTAAAAAACCACCCTTCTTGAATTGTGACTTTTTTTTTTATAAAATTAAATTTATTTTTTATGTTTGTCAGGATAATATTTATATAACTCATTTATGGTAATAATTAAAAGATCGCGTTTTCAGTAGTGTTACTTTTGAAGTTAATGAACGATATATATCGCGATGTTCCCATATGATAGAAAGCACAAGAAAGAAAAAAATAGCACATAGAGAATGAATATTTCCAGTGGTATTTCAGATCTAATTAGATTTAATTAGATTAGAATATAACTGAATTAAGTATACAGATCACTAAAAGATATGCTCAACAAATACCAAGGAAATTTTGTTATTATTTGATAAAATGGTTTAACAAATCAGATATTACCACTGTCTGACACGATTGGTTTTCACTACTGATTGAACTGGTAAATACTACCATTTGATGCACGCGATTTAGGAAAGATCGCAACAATGTAAATCCAGTGATCGTCTCACTTGTTATTTTTTTAGTTGAAAAATTCCGTAAAGACAAAAGAAAAACTGTATTTGGTAAGAAACAGTCGATAGCAATATTTATCGAAATAACTCGCTTAATTTTTTATTTCAGTATCTTAGATTTGTCTTCATAAGAAAAAAGGTGCTTATTGTTTTTAAAACTTTATTTACAATCAGTATGAAATTATAATGTAAATTTTTATTTTAATGATTTAATATTAATTGTGAACAAATATTTTTTTTATTTTTTATTTTTTTTTAACTTTTTTCTAAAAAATTCTTCAAGTGAAAGATAATTGCTTTTTTAAGATATTACAAAGAGCCAATTAATTTAGTCTAAATATATCTTGTTGTCAACTATTTTGAGAGAAAGGTACAGAAAATTTAGATAATGGTTAATCTCGTATTCTATGATAAAATTAAGATGGTCATGGTAGTTATTAAAAGTTTTTAATATTAATATGATCGTATTTAATTAATATTAGAAACTTTTAATAACCATGTGACCGTCCTAATTTTATCGTAGAATACGAGATTAACTGTCGTCTAAACTTTCTGGAGTTTTCTTTCAAAATAAGTGACAACAAGATACATTTTCAGGTTTTATAAGGAAATCTTTTCGGGTTATTTTTTCGTGAACATTACCTGACATTCGTAAAGACCTGCATCTTCGTGATTCACGTTTTTAATCAGTAGATTCCAGCCAGGACCGTTTGAGACAACGAAACGCGTATCTATAGAATGTGTGCTTCTACCCACTGTAAGTAGTTGTCTGTCTTTTCTCCTGATCCACGTTACCTAAAATATGAATTTTATTCATCAATTCGTTGCTACCATTCGTTTTATTAAATATTCCAAGTTAAATTATATCAACTGCAAAAGATACATTAATTCTCCGGAGTTAAAAAAATTTGCAATACAGTTATTAACGGTGGATCTATGAGGCTCATTTAATTTATTGTATGTTAATTAAAAGGCATTAATTAAGAAGCAAAAATGATATAAGTCGTATATGTAAAAAAGAATGAATATTAAATATATTTTAATAAGAATAATGCAAATTTATATAGCTGTGAAATAAAGAAAATTGAATTAATTGTTTAACAAATTTTTAACATTTTTACAAAGAAATTTATAATTAAGCGAAAGTTTAATAAACCTATAGTCTGCTCCAGAGGATTAAGTATGTTTTTACTTCAGCAAATATCTAATTACTATAAAATTTAATTGTAAGTTGTGCTTTTATTTTACATGTATAAATATACACTTAATAATGGGTTCCAAAATTACTCACTATAATTGTTATAATTTTACATGTAATTTTTACAGCGCAGACACAGATGAATATCAAATAATACATGAATACATAACGCAGGAAATATATAATGAAAATTTATTATGATGTTCTATGCGTACATGCATTATTACTTATTCTAATACGCTGTATTATACGCGCAGTTTTACAAGCCATCCCAGATTTTACCGAGTCATTCGATTATCATATTCATAAAACACAGCATTTCGTATTCTTTACACCGAATTACAGTCATATTATTCCGTCTTTTTAGTTACCAAACGAGGAACATAGAGCTGCGAATTACATTCAAAATAAAATGAATAAAACAAAATAAAATTCTAGAAACGCAACCATTTTGTATTATTTATTCGTATGCCGGCAAAATGTACGATCGTCTTTGCCGAAACGACCTAGATCTGTATGTATTACTTTGCTGGCACTCGATTAAATTTTCAACCCCGCGATGCTCCCGCAAGCGATAGGAACAGAAGTATCTACTTGACAGATCTTCTGAAATATCCAGCGCAATGCTTTGCTAGAAATATATTGCGTGAGTCTCGCTCTGTTGACTTCAAAGATAGACATCGACGGTTATTTATGGAAAATGTCACCAAGATAGAAATAGATCTTCCGCAGAATCTCAAGATATTCTTATGCATCAGCAAGAAAGTCCCTCTATCGCGAATTTAGATTTATTGCAGATATTTTCAATCCCTGAATCGTTAGGTGTTATTCGTGCTGTACAATAAGATATCGCATTATATATTGTACCTTATGTAAGAAAATACTTTTGAGTTCTTCTTTACGGTTATCTCATGCCTATTGTCACTAAGAGGGGAAACTGTAAATTATTTAAAAAATTGAATTCAACAACACTATTTCCTTTTCCATGCAAAGAGAATGAAATCTTTGTGAGAAGATTGTGGGTTTGGTACTATGTCCAATTTTTGTCTCTCTCTCGCGGCACAATCTCTTCGTCAACTTTTTCGCATCTTATATCAGTGCAGAAAAAATGCATATCCATTGTCATGCGGCTGACGTTGCACGATGATGAGCGACTTTATGTTAATGTTTGTATTTTATGGCACAAATTCTAGAAGTAATGGCTGAACTTTCAGCTGATATTGAGAGATGGGGAATTAATGAGCATACAACTTTTGAAGATATTTGGCGAACATCATACGAGTACATTAGATATCATATATGTCGCACTGTTTATTATAGATAACAGCGACCGAGTTCGAGACATATTACTAACGCTAATCAAAGCTAGTTGTTATATTAAATCTTTCTTGTTTTCTTATAAATAAAACAATATATAATAAAAAAATATTTGTTAAATGTAATGAATATCTATAATTTTGTAATAATTTTGATACAAATTTGATACAAATTTGAATATAAATATATTATAGATGAATAAATCTCTATATTATTTTGTCTTTTTTGTATCTTTATTAATTTTCTTATAATTAGATATTATTAGTTATGTCTAGCAATAATAAAATAGAGAATGTGAATTACATGTATATAGTAAATGTAAATGAATTATTATCATTTATTATGAAATTACTATTCATAAATATTATAAAATATGTCGGTGTATTTTTTATTTGCTGATGTAATAATTATAAATAATTTTTTTTATAAAGTTTGTTTAATATATATTAATTAATATATATTAATAAATATGTGTATTATAGCCATACGGAAAATATGACCATAGGCTGTAATTTCTCGAATTGCTAAATAACAATTGCTAAATAATGCATTTTTGTAGTCATTCTCAAAGATAATCAATATTTATAGTAGTTATGTGCATACACTATTCGAAATAACAATATTATGAATATTATATGATATTTTGTTTTCGAATGCCTGTAAAATTTTGCATATGTCTATTAAAAGCTAGTATAACGTCAAATTACAGTTTAATTGTTGTAATCAACATACAGAACGAAGAAGATAAATTATATTTTATCTATTATGTTATTTATTTTATTATTCTTTATATTATTACATCGAAACTGAAGATTTTTATATTATTCTTTATACGATTTATTTTTAAACTTGTATTATTAGATTTAACTTTTGCAAAATAAAATAACATTACAGAATACTAAAGAATTTCAAATGTCTACAGAAAGTATAGACATTTACAAAAATTATGGGAAGAATTATTGACGTCATTTTTCGGAGATGCCAATTTCCGGCTGTATTTCGATTTGCCAATTCTGATGAAATTAAGCGGATTCGGCGATTACGAGCGGCGCGCGCGTTGAAGCGAATTACCGGTGGGATGTTCCAATAATAGGGGCAAATTCAATATTGACGGGCGTAGAATAAATAATTCGCGAATAACGAATGGCAGTGACGCATTCGCGCGCCCATTGTCGTCGGTGTGGAAAAAGCTGCGCGTGGAAGCGAGATTACGAAGTTTTGGGAAATCCTCGCTCGCACGTTCGAGACCCTTTCATTACGATCTTTCATTAAAAAATCCTTTCGGTATGCGTGTCGAACACGTTGTAATTCATCACCTCGTTCTTCCTTCATACTTTCTATCGCTCCTTTTTCTCTTTCATTGCGCCCTCTGTCATTAATTGTCGACGATTGCGCTTCTGATATCTTTTTGAAATACGTACGAACGCGGCGCTTTTAATTGCATTATTATCTCTTTAATGCGAATAAAATTTGACTGAATATTCATGGGATTGAGTTAAAATGAAATGTTAAGAATAATTGTTACGTTGATGTGTGAATATGATGTGAAATATTTATAATTCTTTTATCTGATAATTCTTATTTCGAAATTTAAGACAATTCTTAACAAAGATTTATTTTTACAGAAGAACGTGTCAAAACACTCGCGTATTTGAATGGAGCAGGATATGTCCGGATAACATTGCTGCTATTATAAAAAGTTGCTCATTGTTTATTTCGTATTTGATGTTAAAAATTATTATGTTACAAATTATTTCCGTATCTGAATTCAAGAATTGTTTTTGCCACTGTAGAACAAAATTCATACGTTTTTTTTTTTACGTGTCACTTATTCGCTTGTGCGTGATTAAAAATTTGCCTTTGTAACGCAGTAATGCACTGAAAATACTTTTCGTATAGCGTATGCATTACACGTGCCAACAGAAAAAATAACAATAAATGCGCATTCTAAACAAAACGTCCGAACAAAAACGCACAGAGAGACGAATAGGCTGTAGAATTAATTCTCAATATATCTCGGCTTTAGATCACGAACATAATGGCCGATGAATAGCTCGTTATCTTCTCTTCTTCTATCCATATTGTTTATCGGTATTACATACTCATTGTCTACCCGAACTTGTAACTATGCTTCGTACAATAATCTTGTTTATACGAGTATTTTTATCGATATTTTAGAGTTGTTTCAGAATTATATTTGCTTGCGAAAAGTCTAAATCGGACATATGTCGTTGTTTTTTTCAAAATATGAGGTTGATTTTTTCGTTATCAAATATATGCAATGTAATGATTTAATAATAAGTGTACTCTGTTAAATCTAGTGTCAAATTTAACTTAATTTGAATTACCATTATTCTTACTCAACATATCGTTATTTTATATTGAAATAATAGATAATGTGTTTTATTCGCTTATTAAATCTTGAATATAACTTTCTTTTTGCCGTCAATACAAGAATTTATGAGCAATTCTTTCGTATTTGTGAAAGACGTGTATGTCCTGTGAAGAGTGCACTCTCATCGTACACGTGACGGAGCATCGAGGGTGGCTGCGGGGCATCAGCCCTTCACATGTCACGCATGTCGCAACATGCGAGTGTTATCGCGCAAAATGACACGTCCGTCCCGAACGGCGTAACAGCCGGATGCGGGTTGGATGCGGGAAGACAGGACGAGCCACGAGAACGAGGTCGATAGTGACATGAATAAAAGATCAAGCGTGCGTTTCTTGGGCTACTTTTCACAGAGCGCCGATATTGACCGTCGTCTTGACGTTCACTTCTCGATATCGTCTCTTGAATCGCCGTTCGCCATAATTAACCCTTTGAGCGCTTTTTAAATTGTTTTTAGATCTTCGTGTTCGAGAAAGTACGACGTCGATGAATATACAAGACTGAAATAAAACATTTGCAATTTCTTTCATTTGCTCGACTATTTGACTTTCGGAATTGAATAAAAATTTATTTGAACATCACTTCTCTTTCATTAAAAAAGGTAACTTTTAACACGAAAATCTTTCAACTTAAATTTTATCAAAGCAAAATTTAGATGTAGAGATAATTCATTTATTTCTCCGCACTTACTTGATTTTTCAAAGAATTTATTATAATTTTTAATATATTGTAATTTAAAGTCGTTGACATAAAGATAAGAACTAAATTATTAATTATACTACTTTATTGATGATTAAAAAAAAGTATATATTTTTAAATAAAATATAGAAAAATATTTTATAAGAATCTCTCTTTAAATAGAAATAATAGAAATATAATTTTTAATAA